ACTAGGGGATTTATTTTATTAATTATAGTAATTATTGCTACTAACACAGGTTTGGAAGGTCACTATTCAATAGATGTTCATTTACTTGAAATAAAAGTCCTAGCATTAATATATTTTAGATACATGTTGCTTTTGTTAATCAAATAATTACAACCAATTTTAGCTTTTATGAGTGAATCAGATTTATGTCCACAGGGCTTACTTAAAATGCACTGTAAGTGTACAATATTAAATGAAAATAATTTTCTCTATCTACATAATAAACCTTAGGGAACACACATTTGTAAGCCTACTCTTTTGGTGTCCTACAAAGAAAGAATATATTTTGTCTTTATTGACTAATAGGATAGTGAATATTTTAATTCTTACATTTTCAGTATAAGCAGAATTAGATTTTTTTCAGTTTTTGGAGGGTATGGTACAGTGTCTTATGCACCCACTCCCGGTAGAGAGGATGATGGAGGGAACATATGGAAAAGGTGTTCATATTGCCCTTGTAAACAGAATTCTTTTGCAAAATCCAGATAATCTTACAGAAAGTGTAGAAAAGATTAGATATTAGAATTTGAAAATAAAACCATCCTCTTATGATTATTGTAATTACCTACTTCTAACGACAGTTTTGCCTTAGTTCCTCATTGGCGTCTGTTATAAAATGTGGTTCCTAGCTTTCACAAAAAAAAAAAAGCAGACAGTGATGACATTCAGAATTTTAAATATGCTGATGCATTGTTTTCTTGTGACTATGCACTGGCACATTCATTATGCTTGTCCTTCAGTGAGGAGTGGAAATAATTGAATTTCAGAAACAAACCCATTTAAATTGTTTTCATGATCATCCCCCCACCATGCTTCATTTAGACTCGGTTTCATTTATTTCACTACTCCTACTTCATGATAGATCCATGATAGATCTTCAATGATTCATTCATTGTATCAGATTTTTCCAATGTGATGTGACTGCAAAACAAAAGAAAAACATTTCATCAAACTTTGCCTAAATAACTTACATTACTCTTTATGTTCCATGTGTATGATTTTCCTCACAGCATATGAAAAATCTATTTATATTCATAATAATGCCCTAACTCAGGGTACTGTCACCAAGAGCTTCTGTAAAGACCAAAAGGTAAATATTTAATGCTTTGTGAGCCAGATGGTCTCTTTTGTAAATACTTAGCTCTGCTACTGTAGCATGAAAACCATCAACACTATATAGAAGTGTAAGATCATGGACATTGAAATTTAAATTATACATAATTTTCATAAATCAAAAAATACTTATTCCTTGGTACTTTTTCAACTATGTAAAATATAAAATCCATTCTTAACCTATCAGCTGTATAAAAATCAGATGATAAATTGGATTTATCCCGTGGGCCATAGTTTGCCAATTCCTGCTCTAGACAATACCTTCTAACCTATCTTTAGAACAGTCACAATTTTAGAAGGAAAAGAATTGAGAACTCAAATATGAGCTAGAACAATATTGTAAACTTGGTCCACTGCCAAAGTCTCGGCTTGGCACTGAATCAGGAGCCACTCACAGCTTTGTAGATTCAAACAGCAATTCTTTATTCCCCAACTCACACCGGCCTCCACACACACATTCAGGGGAAATCCAAAATCTGCCCGCCCAATTCACCTACTCCACAAGGCTTTTTTCCAAATCCCATTTGAATCTCACGAGAACGAGAACTCAACGGGAACAAGCAGCAGGAACACCCTAATCCCAGCAGCAATAATCTTCAACCTCCAATTTCCCTAAAACCCCTATTGTCTTAAACCGGGAACACCCTAAATTTGTCTTAAACCGGGAATGCCTTAAACTCAAGAAGCGGGATACTTCCTCAAACCTGATCAGCTCTAAACCCGGATCTGCCCTGGTCCTTGAGCAAGGTCACCTTACATGCAATGTCAACAGCGAAATTCCAAGGCAAGTCCATTTAACATGGGGTACGCTGGCAAGGGAATTTCGATGCATCATTCCTACTTGGCAATGGCCCTCAGCAGTCCACTCTCTGGCATTTTCCAGAATTTTTAGGTTTAAGAACTTAGGTGTGGTCATCTGTTAATAATGATGATAGTCATTAGGTATAAGTGTATTTATAGTGGTAATGGAAGCAGGTGTTTGTCTTAATGTCACTTTGCAAAGCAATTACATCTCATTTACTTCGGTCATAAGTTGACTTTTGGTGTTTTGGGGCTCTTGCCTGGCCCCCACTCTTGCCCACTCCCAATTTAGAATTTAGTTAAAGCATGAGCAATTTGCTACAAGAGTACACAGGAAAGGAAAAATAAATTTTCCCATCAGTTTTAATACATGTAATACCTGAATTAAATTCTTTCCTCAGCTTTCAAGATTATCTTGATGCCATTAAGAAATTATCCTTGGTTTTCTCATCATTTCCTCTGCCAAACACAATGAATTATCAACTCTCATTTAAAACCCTTTTTAAAAGTAAAAAACACTTCTGATACAGGCATTTTCATAGTCTGCTATCCAAGAAAGGTGATGTTGTACTATCTTTAATCTCTTTAAAGGCATTGATTCTGAGAGGGAGGGCTCATCTTAGTATTATCATTTAGTATTGGGGGTAGGAAGACTCATGTTTTTCATGTTTTTGTTCCCAGTACTGGGAATTAAACCAATACATCACACATGCCAAATAAGGGCTCTACTGAAATACATCTCCAGGGCTTTTTTTTTTTTTTTTTTTTTTTTTGAGTCAATGTCTTGCAAAGTTGTGTAGGCTAGCCTAGAACTTGTGATTCTCCTGCCTTGGCCCTTAGAGCAGCTAAAGTTACAGGTGTGGCCCAGTACCCACAGCTGGGGGACTGGTTTTCAATTGTTACCATAACTACTTTTTATGTTGGATTAAGCCTGTACGATAACATGTGAACTATTTCTAGGCTCTTAACTATAAATGCTGAAGATAAATTCTTGGTTTCTTTTTTTTTTTCCTAAGTAAAAGGGAGCATTGCATAATAAAAAATAGGAATAATAATTAAGAGCATATACCAAAAATAAAAAGGAAATAATTCATATGAAAAATCTCCTTTTAATAAAGATGTATAATTTAATGAAAACATACTTTGATATCATCATGGGGTATAGATGTTTTTATTTTCATACAGAAGAGTATGCTGCTTACGTCTTTATAAATAGCCATCTCTGTGTGTCTTTATGTATATTTTTTTAAAAAAATTCCATCTGAATTTATTTCTAAATACATTTTCTTTAAAAAAATACACTTTTCTGTGGATGATGAATATCATTATTAGGAAATCCAATTATACAAAAAAATACTACATCTACTCTGGGATAAATATATTTATTTTTGGTTACATATATTAAGTGGCACTAATTATACAGTACTATAAGGTAACTAACATGAAACTGAAGAACTGTCACTCTGCCACAGCTGCTTGGATTTGGGTTTTTCCAGATGAGTACATTTTCAAAAAACTGGATGCCCACCCAGAGCACTGCCAATGAAATCTGCTGAGGAGTAAAGCTCCAACATGATGAGTCACCAGTGTTCCTTGCAGCTGACAGATGATAGGCAGGACATGTTAGTTGTAAAGTAGTTATAGTCCAATTCACAACAATTTACCATTTCTCTTTCTAGAAAGCAACAAGAAGGTTAAACATTCCTTGAATTAGTCCTGGCGTGTCAGGTAGAGTGAAGAGAGGGCTGTTAGAGTAGTGTCAGAAGGACTCTGGCAGGTCAGGCGAGTTGGTCATCATTAATAATGATGGTTGGCTTCTAAATAGTAGCTAAATGGTAGCAAGATGACTTCTGGTTTGTAATCTTAGGTAAATTATAGATAAATGAAAAAGGCCAGTAATCATGCACTAAGATTAATCATGCACTTCAAAATGAATCACTTGAGGGCTGTACTTGCAGCAAGGTTTCACAAGACAAGGCATTTAGGTTTTTTCTTCCAACATCTGGGTTGCAGAGCAGCTCTTGTGGCCATTTCAAAAACTGCCCTCACTCCATCTTTAATCTTTGCTGAGCACTCCATGTACCCAAAGGCGCCAATCCCGTTAGCCATATCTTTGCCTTCTTCAGGTTTCACTGGCTCCTGCTTCATCTTGGCTAACTTCTGCCTTGTGTGCTCATCATTCCGAAGATCATTCTTATTCCCAACCAGGAGGATGGGTACACTGGGACAGAAATGCTTGACTTCTGGGGTCCATTTTTTTATGATGTTGTCTAAACTATCAGGATTGTCGATGGAGAAACACATCAGTATAACATCAGTGTCTGGGTAGGAGAGGGGTCTCAGGCGATCATACGCTTCCTGCCCAGCTGTGTCCCACAAAGCCAACTCTACCTGCTTTCCATCCACTTCGATATCTGCCACATAGTTCTCAAACACTGTGGGCACGTATACTTCTGGGAACTGGTCCTTGCTGAAAACTATGAGCAAGCACGTCTTGCCACTTGCTCCATCACCAACACTCACCAGCTTCTTCTTGATGGCAGCCATAGCTTACACATATTCTGCAAAAGGCGTGGCCTAGGTGACAGAAGTTGTAGAAAGTACCTTGAATTTCCCAGATGAAAAGTTCAGACAGTGACTCGAGTCTGGCCTCTTTGCTCAGAGAACGCCTGTCCATGAGTCGCAAAGTCAGAGACCGGACAGATTATGTCCAGAGGCAACGGCTGACTAATGAGAGGACCAACTGCCAGCAGCAGGCTGGGATCGCAAGGGGGCAGGGGGCAGCGAGCGCGGGGCAGCGAGCGCAAGCCAGGGAGGGCGGGTGGCGGCGGGAAAGCCTTACAGTTGCTTTAGAGAAGATTATGTTGGCAAAACAATCTTTTGAAAATTTCACTAACATTTACTCTTAGAATGATATTTCAGCATAATCGTTTCTTCTGATGGTAGAAATAGATAATGTATACCTTTCATTATTTCTCCCAGTCTACAACAGAGTGCGGACACACGTGCTCAAGTAGATAATACAAATATAGGTTGTTCGAGTGTGTCTATTTACTCAAAGATGACTAATGAAACAGCAATCATAATAGTAGTAGCTCTCATTTGTTAAGTTGTTTTCTGTAGCAGACTTTAATGTTAGGCAAGCTACTTGCATTTTCTTATCATTCAAGCTAGGTTGATTTCTTATCAATCATAGCTTCATAATTATCCATCCTTGTTAGGAATTAGTTAACTCAAAACATTCCCAGGGTTTTGCCTCACAATGCCTATCCCAACACGAGACTCATTAGTCACAAAAATGCCTGTATATTGGAAATGTATCAAATTAGGAAGGAGCAGAACTTGATGGGGACTTTATTGTGGCTCCAGTATCCCCTTAGCAAGGAAGGATGTGTATGTTCATTCCTCCAAAAAAAAAAAAAAAGCCTATCTTGTCATTTTGATAGATACATTTCTACCTCAATTCATGAGTTTAGGCAATATGCATAATTTGCTTGTAAGAAATTAGAGATAGCAGAATATATATTACTTCTCCTCATAGCATTCTTCAGAAAATTGGACTTCAGACCATGTTAAACTGGGACATACATATATAAAATGTAAAACTACTATCCTTCTGATACCTGCTGAAAACTAAAAGTATATTTGGGCCAAAAACTCATTTCAGAGGCTTATTTGAATGATCTATGGCCTTTCTACTCCTCAGCACCTCCCATCTCCTCCCTATTCTTATTCTCTGTCTTTTCTGTTCAGTCTATTTTATGTTATTTAGTCATGAGAAGTAATGTTATGGGTTTTGTTATTCCTCAAAGCTATAGGTTTCTTACCTTTTTTTTTTTTTTAAACTTAGTTTAAATCCACGTTCACAAGTCACAAAATCTTACTGTATGGGAGATCCTATGATGTAGTCATATTCCATACATACAGTGAAAGTATATATTCTCTTTATCTTAAGTTAATTAGTCCTCAGTAAGACTATTTCTAAAATATGATTTTGCTATCATTCAAGGAAAGAGTCCCAGAGAGGTTAGGTAATTAAAGCTTGTTAACTATATCATCTTGAAAATCTGATATTTTATCCATGATTTGATAAGTGACCATCTCACTGGAAATAATCTCAGCTATAATCTTAGATCATTCATGATTTTTATCAAATATTCATGTTTTAAAGAGGCAATGGAATTTATTATAAATATGAATGTACTATAATGACTTATATGTACTATATGTACTTATATGACTTAATGTAATATAATGGCTTACAAAATTCTATTTTCCTGCTGGATTTAAACAAGTTTAAAGACTAGCTCTTTATAGGGCTTGAAATACCATTTTAAAAAAACTGATATATTTTCAGATTTTCAAGTATTAGTAGTAAAAATGGGCATGAAAATTATAAATTAAATAGTTTAAAGCAATATAATATAGTATTAATATATCTGAACACATATTAATATCACCTAGATAAATTTGGTATAAATATAGATCTCATGAGTTGTAGTCCCTGGAGGTTCCTATAACTTTTAAGTACAGCTCAAGGTTTCTCACTAAGAAAGGGTCCTGAATTGTTGTAAATTCACCGGTATAATTCTCAACATGTACTTTGAACTTTCAATCTTCCTGCCTTAGCCTCCCTAGTTGCTGGGATTAAAGGCCTATGCCACTGTTCCTAGCTAAATATTGCATTAAAAATAATTAGAGGCATTTATTTAAAAATTTGGATTACTGCATTCAACCAAAAATATTTGATTTACTGGAACATGAATTTTATCAAGCACCCCAGGTGATTACAGTACTATAAGTCCAGAAAACATATGCTGATAAACAAAATACACTTGAAAAGTCTTCATTTCAAGAAACATAAGCACAGCAAAATTCAAGGTCTCCAAGAGAACAATTCTATGATTTCACATAAATTTATCCATCTAGAAATATTTTCTTTATTTCTGATCTAACTTTCATGGACAATTTAAGGAGAGTTTGTTTCAGTGTTCTTTCTTTACTTTCAGACTTTCTGTAGTCCAACAGAGCTGTCCTTCCTGCTTTTCTTTTGTTTTATAATTCCTTTAACATTAGGATCAAACACTGGGAAGCTGAAGGATGATTCCACCACAGACATAGTATTGACTTTTTAATTTAACTTTTATTTTTTTAGATATTTGCTATATTTGAAACTTCCATTGTAGCCTTTGCATATTAAAAATCTAGATTTTCATCTATCTATCTATCTATTTATTTATTTTGAACCAGGGATTGAATCTAGGGATGCTTAACCACTGAGCCCAGCCCCCACTTTTAAAAATTTTGATTGATTGATTGATTGATTGATTGAGACAGGGTCTTGCTAATTTGCTAATTTGTTTAGGGCCTTGCTAAGTTGCTGAGGCTGGCTTTGAACTTTCAATCCTCCTGTGTCAGCCTCCCTAGTTGCTGGGATTAAAGGCCTTTGCCACTGTTTCTAGCTAAATATATATCTTACCTTAAAAATATGAAATAAATTTATAAATTTGAACCTAGACTTGTATAAGTTATGGATTTCTGGGTAGATTTATCTGCTTTAGATAAAGTATGATAATTTTAGTTTATCATCATCTCTACCTCTCTCAGTAATCTCACTGACATCAGGAGCATGTTCAAGTGTACATGACCATTTCTCAATGGGAATAGTTTTATTTTTGAGAAATTATTTTCTATAATCATATTTATATAAAAAGTCAGAGATTACAAAATTGTATGCTTCAGTATAAATGAGGGAGCAATCTTTACAAAAGGGATAATATTTTATGCATTTATTTAAAAACCTAAAATGATTCACACACTTTGTTATTTGTAGGTATGTGATTCTGCAATCCCTCATTTATTTGATTTTTGTCTCTAAGATTAAAATGAAAATCCATGGTCTTTGTGCAGATATAAATGATGTCTTATTCATGCTTATAACCTAAGCACCAAGCTAAATTTAAAGTAATTGACTTAGAATAAATTCACATATGTGTGTTTCACTGATTAATATGATTGCTTTTCAGATTTTTATCAACATTATAAATTATACAATTCAAATTATTTTATTATTTTGTTGTCCTTTAGATTGTCTTTAAAATGTTTTTCTCTTTCCATATGATCCTTTTTTTTTCTTTTCAGTGGAGGGAGGTGTTAAAAGAAACTCAGAGTGGAATCTATTGAACATACTCCTCTATGGCACTTCATATCTAGTACAAGAGATTTATCTCATGTCCCAACAGACTCCAGCCATATGGTTTCTGATAGAAATCAACCTTCCCATCTTCTACCATATATACTCAATTCTTATCACTTAAGTACTTTTGTAGTGAATGTTTATTCTAAGTTAATTCTCATTATGTAATCCATCACTAAATTTATGTTTATTCTTTTAGGTAATATGCTACTTTCCACTGTGCTTTTAATGTTTAACAAGCATGATGAACATTTAGAATACATTGTGTGAATGAATAAATACTCACTCAGCACTCTATGAAAAGTAAATGAGTTAAAATGCAAGCCCAAATGAGAAACAGAGAAAATAATAATCATTTACTGAATATTTATTATATGTTAGGCACTAAACTAAGAAAATCCTGCACATTACCTCATTTTATTTTCACTACAGTTCTTAGATAGACAGTATCTTTGTTCTTTCTGATGAGAAAACAAAGTTTCAAGGAAGAGGCCGTAACAAGCAGAATTCAGAATGGAAAGGTGGACTCTTTGATCCTAAACCCAGTTCCTGCTTCCAGGTGGGGAAATTAGTAGACAAGCATGGAAGAGTTAAGAAAGTGTAAGGAGAAGGTTCAGGAATGACAACAGTTCCCTGACAAGACCTTTATTTTCAGTGACCAAGTACTCATCTACACTTACTTCGTTGAAACCTTTATTGTTTAGGTCAGTTAGTACAAATAAATGTTAATGTAAAATCATAGGTTAGTGGTTATTTTGAACATTAAAATTATTCAAATTCAAGTTACTTCAAAATTTCAAAAAGATAAAATTCTTAACTTTCAAAAAGCATTAATTTTTAAGCCATTAACATTCCTTTAAAGAGCAATATTGCCTTAAAAATGATCCTTTAAAAATGAAGTTTTCAACATTTCCAGTGGATTTTGCATATATTACCTATTTTACAACTTCTTAGAAAAAGCAAAATATTATAGATTTGGTCCTGGCAGGGCATCATGATAGACCTAAATGATTCAACATTAGAACTTTTCTGACCTCTCAGCTCCTCTACCTTTGTGTTACCTCAGGATTATTATTGTCACATTTAAAATATTTCAAGATTTTCTACTATACTGGTATGTAGCTATAATTTTATACATAGTTCTAGTGTACATGTTTTTGTGTGTGTACACTTGTGTATGTGTGTGTTGCCAGATATTGCTTACTGATTCCTTTTCTAATTTTTTATTCCACTTTGTTTTTTAATATAAATGCTTTCTTCTAACTCATAGAATGTATTTACATAGGTTTTTATGCTGCATCATCTAGTACTCCATGTC